CCCCCCCCCCTTTTTTTTTACCGTTCCCTCCTCCCCCCCCCCCCGGTCACCTTGAAGTTACCAGTTCTTTGTGCTGAACCAATCACTTGGCTACTAATGATGTTGACTTTGCGACGAAAGGGAAGACACTGGCTCCCTTCACTGACCCTGTTTGACGATAGACAAGAGTTCACGTCCTTCACTGAGCTCATTTGGGGTTGGGGGTAACTCTATCTTTTGTAACATATTGTGTGGAAATTACCTTATAAAGAGGGACTTGGTTAAGGGGCGGGGGCCTTAAATGCTCAGTTCACTCGATTAAATTCCTTTCAAATTTGCGTCCAATTGTTGTATGAAAGCACCATTTTGTGCGTGGTTTCTTGTGCTTTTAGTTTTGGGACAAAAGTGAGAACATTTGATCAAAGAGTAATGTGAAAGGTGTGGAGCAGGCCCCATATGAAAATCGCACCAAATGTATGAACGAAAATTTGTCGCGGTATGATCGTGCGAACTGAGCCCCAAGCCCGGAGCTGTCAAATGATTTTGTGGGTGAGTTTGCGGGTTTTTGCGGCTGCAGACGTAAGCATCGCGATGGTTGATATTATTACTAAACCAGTTGTGAAACAAAAAAAAACAAAAAACGAAAGTACCGGTAATAAAAATTTCTTTGTCGATACTTCGATTCTTTTAACATGGCGTTAGATTAAACAAGCCCTAAACTATAAAAATGTTCTTATAAATCTTTTATAAAATGTAATATCGAGCAATGGGGGTGGGCAGAAAATTTGACTGAACATGCATACATGTGTGCGCACTTAATATAAGAATCTCAATTATTTCCCCCCCCCCCTCTCTCTCCCTCCCCACCCTTTTTTTTTTTCACTATAAAATGTAATTACGAGCCATGGGGGTGGGCAGAAAATTTGAATGAAAATGCATACATGTGTGCGCACTTAATATAAGAATCTTAATTATTTCCCCCCCCCCCTCTCTCTCCCTCCCCACCCTTTTTTTTTTCACGGCTCACAACCGCACATTTTTTTTTTCACGGATTATGGTTCAGGGGGAATTTTATTTTATCTCTTTCTTGAAAAACAGGCAAATTGATTTTTGGGGGTAGGGGCTGAAAATATGATAGATTGTGTTGTCATCGGCAAAGAATCAATGTGTCAAGTTTCAGCTCGATTGACTGACGGGACGTGCGTCAAATTAGCCGTCCGAAGATTTAGGCAGCCAGCCAGCCAGCCAGCCACCCATGACCATTGGGGAAGTTAATTGAAAGGATTTGAAAAGACAGCGCGGTTTTAGGGTTTTAAAGAAAAATATTATTTTTAAAAAAAATATTAAAAAACTTTAAACGTAAGATCGTGTCTCATAACTTTATTATCTGTCGTAAAGTTGTTTGGTGTATGCGTCTTGTAAGATACATGTGTCTTTTGTCTGTGTCTTACGCTATGAAGTGGACTTGTGTCTGTGCATGCTTATAAAGAAATGACTTTGTCTTGTGTATGTGTCTCCTTAAGTGCCCTGCCTATGCGTCAAGTTGGATAAGTTTTTCTTGTCCGTGTGTCCAACTGGATACGTTTCCTTAGTCCGTTTTTCTCGTTGGATGAGTTTGTCTTTATCCATTTCGTCTGCTAAGATTGTCTTGTGCATCCGTCTCGTTGTGTTAATTCGTCTCGTGTTTGTATGAACACAGCACGGTACTCATTTGGTGGACTTACTTGCTTGAGATCGGCTGCTATTCTAGACATCGGTTAGACGCGAGGCACCAGAGGGTGTTGAGTCAGCCGGGTTTTTTGAGTTTACTGTTCATTCAGTTCCCTGTGAGATACTTCCCCCCCCCCACACACATTTTATTGCATGGTCATGGTCATTAAAACAAGGAAGAGGGCAAGGAGCGGTTGCTCTACCCCTAGGGTATTTTTCTCTTTATTATAGGGGGTGCCATTTTCGGCCAATGGCTGAGTTTTTTTTTAATCGTGGAAGTGGGGGGCGGTAAATAGCTTGGCCCGCCAGGGGTAACACCAACCTGAACTACGCTACTGAAACCAAGGTTTGAAACTGATGCACATAATGTCTCCCCTGAAGATGGGCAAGTGTGGGGGGTAAGGAGATCACCTTTTAATTTTAAATCTGATCTTTATATTTCAAATTTTTTAATTAAGATAAGTTGATAAATAGTCTTTAACTTTTAATGGCTAAAATTAAATAGAATATTTTTTTTTTAAAATTACTTTGTACATATTCCTTTTCAGCTCATAAATAAATACATATTTTTTTAATAAAGACAAAGCTTTAAAATAATAATAATCTAAACACTGGATATTTGAAGTATTTATCTAGCTTAGAAATGGGCCGGCCATGAGCTCCTTTAGTGACAGTAATGAAATAATGAGTGATCATTTAGATTTGGTAATCGAAGGTGCAGCACGCAGGTAAATTATTGTTGATCGTCAGTCGGGAGTCGACCATGACCACTTTAATCATCAGAGTTTGTGCTAGTTCTCTCTGTGGGTGCGCAGATGGCTAACGAGGCCGATTCTGGCACGAAATTCTCTTGTGCAGTAGGTGCAGGGGAATGATGGCGCATCTCCGGGAGCAGAGTCAGGCCCAGCCTTCCTGCCATGTCTCTTGCGCTCAGCAGCCGCTGTTCTGCCACCTTCATGTTGCATGGAGCTCCTGTGCAAAGTGGAACGCCATGAAGTGATGTCCTTTTCTTTGTCCTCCCACGTGTCTGGGTTTATGTTGAACGCTTTCAGTGAGGCTTTTACGTTGTCTTTAAAGCGTTTTTTTTTCTATCCGCAGGCAGACCGCTTTCTTTGTTCAAGCTCACCATAGAAATATTTTTTGGGCAGAAGGTCATCTGACATTCTCACAACATGTCCCACCCAGCGAAGTGGGGACTTCATCAAGATTGTGAAGGTGTTGGGGAGACCTTCCCGTGTGAGCCCCTCAGTGTCTTGGACCCTGTCCTGCCATATAATGTTGAGGATTTTTCTGAGTCTTGTTGTTTGAAAGTGGTTCAGCATTCTTGCATGGCATTGGTAGACCGTCCACGTTTCACAGGCTTAGAGAAGCGTAGGGAGAACAGCCGCCTGATATACTTTCAGTTTAGTTTGAGTGCTGATATCTGTCCTGGTCCATACGTTCTTAGTCAATTTTCCATAGGTTGCACTGGCTGTCGCAATACGAAGGTTAACCTCGTCATCGATGGTTGTGCTTTGGGACAGTGTCCGGCCGAGATAGGAAAAGCCTTTCACCATATAAGTCTTTCACCATATACTTGGATGTTGGGCTCAACATAAGGTCTTTGAGGAGCTGGTTGGTATATGACCTCAGTTTTTGTGTGTGTTAATGGTGAGCCCAAAGTTGGTGCAGGCATAAGAAAAGCTTGTGACGCAGCGTTGCATATTCACTTCTGATACAGCGTTTAGGGCACAGTCGTCTGCATAGAGGCGGTCCCTGATGGTGTCTGTCAGGACCTTCGTTTTGGCATGTAACCTCTTGGCGTAAATTATTACATACTGGCGAACATACTGGGGAACCTACGTGGGAACCTACTGACCGGGGAACACAATTATTTTTTTTTATATTTTGGTCCAAACTTTAAAAGAAAGAATTTGTCCTGATTGAGCTGATCTTATGTATCTGAAGTACCTGGGATGAAGTGGGTGGGATGTGATCTTATGTATCTGAAGTACCTGGGATGAAGTGGGTGGGATGTGATCTTATGTATCTGAAGTACCTGGGATGAAGTGGGTGGGATGTGATCTTATGTATCTGAAGTACCTGGGATGAAGTGGGTGGGATGTGATCTTATGCATCTGAAGTACCTGGGATGAAGTGGGTGGGATGTTGCATCCACCATTTTTTAAAGCTTTACAACATTTTTCTATATATAATTCTTCTTCAAGTGAAGGATGTTTAGTTTGTGTGATATTGCTAGATTTTCTGATTAGTCTGTTCGATCTGTGTTGGATGTTAGACGATGAATTCACACACCATTAGATAATTCTGAAGTTTTGTAGGCTTCAAATTGTTGCACTGTAGAATAATTTAATATATGATTTGTTTAAGATGAAATTGTGTTTTTTTTCAGATAGACAAATCTTTGGTTCACGTTTTCAATACATTATTTGGCCGCGTTTATGCATTGACAGCCTTTAGTTAATTTTGAAATCTAGGTACTAATACTAGTAATACGTATTTACTGGTTACAGGAAATTTAATCGAAAGAAATTTCGTCGACGGTAAATTGATCGACGATAATTTGATCGAACGGAAAGTTGGTCGAATCTCTTTTTTCAGTTCACACGTGAAAATTTTCGTCGAATTTCATTTTGAACGCGCTATATTATATAGTAAAACAAATAGAAATTTAAAGCAACATTTTAACATAAAAACTGAATAAAAAAAAAAAGATTCGACCAAATTTCCTTTTGATCAAATAACCGTCGATCACCTTACCGTTTACGAAATTTCGTTCGATCAAATTTCCGGATATGGTATCTACATCTTCAATACTTACATTAGTTATTGTAAGATCTGCAATCGGGTGA